AGAGAGAGAGAGAGAGAGAGAGAGAGAGAGAGAGAGAGAGAGAGAGCAATAAAAAACCGAATATATAATATTAGAGTGTCAAAAATACTATGCGAATAATTACGTTAACAAATAACCCATGCGAGTAATTATAAAGTTAAAAAGGAATGAAGAGAAATTCGCGAGATAGGGCCACCCGAAAGGAAAGCCCTGCGATGAAGGTAAATGCGGCTTGCTCGTAATTGCTGGCGAGCAACAATTGCGACAGTTTGCACTAATACTCGTTCATGTGTATATAATACGCGTCGATTTTCAAGCTGCGACCATTTTCCCACTATCTTGTTTCCTCCACGAATTTAGTCTCGCTCGGTTACTTTTGCTCTGAGATTATGCGGAACCGTGATGAAATAACTGCACGATCCTATTGTTGGTTCCTACAACTCGATTATGGCCCCTCCTTTAATAGACCTGGTGATTACCGCATAAATTACATTGTGAGATTCACCGTCCCATCAGACCTTCACAATATGGCCATCTTTCGTTTTGTACAAACTTGTCCACTGAGGCGATTTCATAATCGTTTATTAAAAACACGACATCTTTCTTCCCTATGTATATATAATGGTCACTTTATTTCGAAGAATCAGCACGATTTTCTTCGCGTCGCAAATTTTGTACCACCATCGATTGCCACTTGCCACTTCTTTTTTCTTTGTAAATCAATCTGTTAGTAATTAACGCGATTTAATTAAATCGTAATTGGTTCGGTGGAATATAATATGTCGCCATTGTGTTACGCCTGTAATTTATTAAAAGTCTCTCGACTGAATTTTCACATGCGAATCAAGTGATAAATTCCATCTATTGTCCCGGATCGATGGGCTCTGTCTCTGTGAAAAATAATTATACATATATGTATATGTACACGTTTCATTTAACATACGAAGCCTATTTTAATCGGGCAAACACAAGTTCGTTACGCAAGCCGAGTTTTGCAGATCAATAGTAACCTCGTCCCACAGTTCGGCGCTTTAAATCGATATCAAATGGTTACGCAAAGTATAAGATGTATAAACGTATAAACAGATCGGAAAAACAATTTGTCGATTAAATGCATAACATATTGAGAGGATTATTCTAAGCAGAATGTCACGATAACGTCAAAATGTTACAATGCATTGCGATTAATAAAAAAAAAAATGATTTTTAATATAATTACTGTGGAGCTGTTTGATGCCATCATAATTTTTTATTTCGCTCTGAATTATATTTGTTATTCTACTTTTCAAAAATAAAATCGTTAAACAATCCATATTAACCGATTTCTGAAATACGTAAATTTTATTTTATACATATATATGTATATATACTAAAAATATACTTCATTACAAAAAATCATAGAAAAAGTTGTCTAAAAATAATTATTGAGAAATACCGTAAGGACCAATTTTCTCAAATATAATCTAGATTTAATTTCTCCTTAGAAACTTTTCAATTCAACGTTATAAAACTCCTGCTAAAATTTTAAATAAGTCACAAAACTTTTATTAACGTTTGTTCGATCTGAAGTTCTTCAAATAACTTAGTCACTCCCTAAAACTGAGTACATACTAAAAGATATGTACTAAACAGGTTTCTTAGAAAAAGAAAACAACAGAATAAAGATCAATAAATTTCGCTCGTTTTTTGCAGTGCAAATTACAATAAATAACGGTCTATATCGAGCTAAATGGATTTAATATAGTTCTTAAATTTATAGTATAAATGAGAACACAGAGTGAAAAACTAAAACAAAAAACTAAATTATCGTACGTTTCGGATGAAACTCGCTAAAGAAGGACCTGTGAGTTCCAAAACGTACGACAGTTTAGTTTTTCATTTTAGTTTTTCACTTTATGTTCTCATTTATATTATAAATTTAAGAACTATATTAAATCCATTTAGCTCGATATAGACCGTTATTTATTGTAATTAGAATAAAGATTGTCGGAATAAATATAATGCCTTTAAATCCTTGAGAGATTCATTAAAAAGTTCAAAGGAAAGAATTCGCGAGTTTTCTTATAGAAGGAAAATAACTTATTAAATATTTATTCTGATTGTGGGTATATTAAAAGCTTTTAATATTCAAAATAAGTAATTAATCACTATCTTTCAGTATTATAAATTAGCTAGTATTAGTTTTCTGTAAGGGTCCTAAGATATTTTTCTTCTCATTCTCTCTCTCTCTCTCTCTCTCTCTCTTTCTCATTAATAGTCTCAATAATTTTAAATGCAAGCTACATGATTTTTTGGTAGAAAAAGTCTCATAGTTAATTATACTTGACAGTTGCTTAGCATTTTTATTTATTTTTCTTGCATATTTTTATGCTATATTATTCATATACTTATATTTTTTTCTTTATTTCTTTGTAATAGTTTTTTACTGCTTTGTTTTACTAAATATTTCAGCGCTCGATGAAAGGACTTATTCTAGAGCACGAGATAAATAAAGCAATCTATGTATTTATATCTTTTTCTCTCTCGGCGAAATTTTGAGTATTTTGCGAGAAGAGATCTCGCGAAGTAGTAGAAACAGACGGCCTCGGGCAGATCGACGTAGAAAAGCGAGAGGTGCACTCACAAAACGCGGCGACGGCCACGGCGGCTGCAACGTGACCGCTGTACCACGTGATCCGCGCGGCCAATTGGATCTGCCGCGGATCGACGGTCACGTTGCACTCGGCGTGGCTCAATTCACCCCCGCACTCCTGCACGCTGCCCCCTCGTCTATCGGCCCCCTTCGACTATCGCGTTCGCATATGCGATCGGTTGTTAACGCGGTGCGGTGTGGTTTTACGGCCGTGCGATTTTGCTCGTTCACTCGCGCAATTGCGCGAAATAAAAAGAAGACGGGGTGAAAAGAAAGAAAGGAAGAGGAGATTGGCGAACGCGCGCGACGATCGAGCAAGTGCGAGCGAGCCTTTCGCGCGAATTGTCGTCGCGCTGAATTTGAGATCCGCGAGTAAACAGTGAATGATCGTTATCGCGCTGCGTCTGATTGTTTCTGGAATTAGAAGGATTTGCGGTAAGCAATCGACGCGATTGTTCATGTCAAGCGATGGGACGATTAGCGCGCTCGACGCTATAAGAGCGATGCATCGAGCGCGTCATCGATCCAGCGAGTGCCGCGAGTGAATCGTTCAATTAGTGTGTAGTTTTAAAACTTAAAGTGTGTGAAATAGGTGTATACGTTTGACGTTCGGCGGAAGAAAGTTTTAGTGGAGTCTAGTTAATTCTTTAAGCAGACCTTATTAGTAATTCAATTCGATAATTTAGTCGCGAGTTATCAAATGGAGAATTGATAAGAGTCTTCCGATGGTGGATTTGCAACCAGAGTGAATCAGCGAATAAATTCGCGAAGAATTCGCGACGAAAAGAAATCAAGTCTGCGAAGGGAAATGTGAGTGTCGCCGATATTGCAATCAACACGCGTTGCGACTGATGGACTGAACGTCGATTTGAGTTCCGCGATCGATCGATCTTGCTCGCAAGCTGAATCTGGAAACCGTCGTGTTGTTGGTCATAGGGCTTCGCGGCCTTGCTTCGCCGGCGGGAAACTTTGCAATTGTGACACGCGCGACGATGCGAGCTCCGCGGCGAGCTTGTCTCGCGGCTCGCAAACTCTTCTCGTAGCGACTCGGCGTGCCCGCGGATTTCTGCAGTGGATTGGCACAGCGGGTCGCAGGGCCTCGGCTTTTCCAACTCGGCGCGCTTTCACCGGCTCCTTCAACGAAAGTAAGAGAGAAAGCGGAGCTGCGTTACATTATAGATTTGTGTGATTAGTTTAAATAGCGAATCGAGGCATTTCGATGGTCCCCCTTACAGTTAGGTGTTGTTATCGCAATTAATATGTGCACATGTATTTTTTTATACGAGACAATAAAATTACTTATTGCCAGTAAGCAATTTTATTGTATTATTTAGATAATGAATCGTTACAAATAAAAATGTAGTATATACGAGTATACCTGGTATGTTCTAATATTTCATTAACTTTTAAGTCTTATAATATAAACCGAAAAACAGATTGATAGACAATTTATTATAAAATTTATTATAAAATTATGCATGTTGGCCGGAAACTTTTGTCAGGCATTGTGTATATATATATATATATATGTGTGTGTATGTGTATACACATGTGCATAGTATATTTATTGTATACATATACACTCTTAGGTAAAAAGTTTAAAAGCATTAAAAAAATTATCATTTTTATTTATTCAAATAATGCTTATATATATTTAATAATGTATTGAAAAAATATTTTAATTTTAAAAAGTATTTATACTTTTTTTAGATCCCCCCAATAACGGGTTATTGAATCTAAACAATTATTGTTCAAAAATTTTAATGTTATGGACATGAGGATATTTGAGTAAATAATTAAAAAAATATCAATTTTTTAAAAGTGTTTCTATACTTTTGGCTTAAAGTGTACATATATATTGTTTATGAATATTTAATTATTTAATTATACTTATTAAATCATATAATTATACATATCAAATTAATAATTAATATACGAATATAATCATTATATGTGTATATATCATAATTTAAATTTTCGTTGTTGTGTGGTCTTATAAAGGACAATTTCTTTTACTAAATTTTCCTCAAATACGCTCAGATTAGTCATCAGATTCGTTGAGAGAAAGTGCGATATAATTTCTACGGATATTATATAATATTTCCAAATTGTTCAATACTCTAAAAAGAAATCATCTATTTAAATTCAAATAACTCTGCATATCTTTCTACTCATTTTTATTGCAATACTGACAAAATTAATTTCACTTGCCGTGATTAAAAAAATCCGATTTGAGATATATTAAATAACCGGTTAATCTTGTCAATATGTCAATATGTTAAATGATTGGTGAATAATGCGTACAACGAAATCCATTAATCGTCGCGTGAAAAATTAATAATCCTTATTACCCAATATCGCAAAGGAACAAGGCATTAAGAGTTTACGGAAATTTCTTCATTATTAATTACGGAATTATCAGTTTCATTAATGTTGCGAGAACTCGAGGTGCGTTGAATCGATTCAAAACGGATCGTGTGCCCAGGAATACACGTTTAATCGTCCCCATGGGTTCAACTTATTGACTCATCTAATCAACGAGTGGATACTTTCGGGCGGAATAGATGTTCCCAACTTAGTCGTGGCACTCGACCCTTATCAATTAACGCTTGTAAGGAGTTGCCGAAATGTCGCTCGTACCGTTGTTGCACAAGTAGCGTTTTGTCACGGAAAACGGAAAGCGGAACGGCGACGGACGTCGTGTTTAGTCACTGTCGTGTCGTTGTAAGTAAACACGTTGATCCATCAACCCAATTCGTAGGATTAATTAAGTAATTTTTTTCTGTAACGCAGAAAATGAAAATTTGCATATACTTTCTGAAGTTTTCGAAGTGGAATTCTCACTCTGAAGAGTAAAAATTGAGCCAGTCTTGAAAAAGAGCGGCTCAATTTTCAATCCTCAAAAGTAAGATTTCACTCTTCGAAGTAATTCACTTTAAAAGTTTTAAAGAGTATGTACTTATACATACATATATATACAAAAGTTTTCATTTTTCATGTTGCGCTCTAAGGAAAAACGTTATATAATTGACCTCAGCCCCAGAAATACGGCCGAGTTTCTCTTAGAAAGCGTTCATTGTTCATCTATAGGCAGATAACTCATATCAAACGTGACACGTAATATCTACCGCTTTTCACTGAAAAACGCGATTTACATGTTCACGATATACGTGCGAAAATTGATCTCGAGATATAATACATTGGCGGCGATGTGGAAAATGAAAATACATTGCTGAAATCAATGGGGAAGCAGAACGAGTGGGGGAGAGTTAAAATAAATAGGGGCTTAAATGAAATATAAAATTTGTCGAATTAAGCGTAAAAATTATTTATCGCTTGATAATACCAGTAACGCTACAGGTGGTTAATTAAAATTTATATGCAATAAGTAAAACGTCACTTGTCTTGATATATATTAATCGTTATCAGAGTACTCTTCCATCGAGAGTATCCCAAAAGTAACAAAATAAGCTGTCCAGGGTGAATTACATTTGATTTACATTTAGTTTCATATACATGTGTTTACATATTTGTACAACATTAATTGTCACAATTAGACGTTATCGATAACGATCTTATGCAATCAACGCTTGGTATTCTTCTAGAATTTGATCTTTCTAGAAAAGACGAATGCGTATTGAATAAATAATAAAGAGTAGCACGTATATATATATATATATATATATATATGCGATTCTTGTTCTTGAAGGATTGTTAGTAATAATTCTCAAGCACACAACGTACTTACGTTCAAAGTACAAAAAATACATTGAAACAAATACTAAATTTTAATGAATATTTGTTCAAATATTTCTAAGTAAATATTTACTAAATGTAAACATATATTTATTTTATGCAAAAAACATTAATTTGATTTAATCATATTTTCATGGAGTACCATATTTATTTAATGTAAGTATTTACTTACAATTAGTATGTACTGTTCAAAGAAGTATCTGTTAAGTAATATTCAATAGTAAAGACCGTTAATGTACGAACATAACTAATACGAAGCCTATAACAGTCTAGCTTGGATCTTTAATCGCTTACATTTGGACTACGTATATAAGTTAATTATTAATTTGTTTTAATTCCTGATAGTACCGCGATAGTTAATATGTCGGGAGTCGAATCGCTTGTTTTATACGCAAGTGTCCTAGCCAATTAGACTACCGAGGCCTTAGTAATATTCTTCGCAATATAAGTAGGAATCAACGTCTATTTTCAAGCGACGTAAACAAACAATATCAAATCTTATTTGGACCGTGAGAGTTTTTAAACTAAATACCGATGAAAATAAGCCATTTACGGTCAAGTTGGATCTTGGATGCTTCTTAAGATGTATTTACTAAAAATATATACATTGTGAAGTATCGGACACTTAAATTACAGCTTCTATTGTTATACCTGAGAGAAAGATTTGTTTCTAGATTTGTTTATTTTTAAAAATTGTGATTCCTATTTTATACCAGAAGAAAATAATGAATTATACGTAACATATTAATTGTAATATATCGAATAGAGTTTGAGACTTTATTCGAGTGATCATCGAACAAAAAATTTATTGAAAGTATTGAAATGTAGCTCCAAAACCTTTTGAAGCACAGAAAATAAAAAAAAAGTAACTTCTACTCATATTAAATCTTTTAAGCGGATTTAAATATATATCTTTTATTTTAGCATTTAATATATATATATCTATACTTTTTTTGAAGTGTGCTAGTATTTATACATCGACGTAACAAAAAAATAAAATAAAATTGATTTTCTAATAGAAATAAAAAAGTTACATCTTAATTTTCGTGGCCTCATATTTTTTACATTTTTGCACGAACAGAATATTTTTTAGAACTCTCCAGAAATCTCTGAGAAAGAGCCAGAAAATCCATCAGTTATATCGAAATTCTCAAGACGAGCTGCTAACTATGCAGAAATAAAATTAATGACAGCGGCTAACTGAGCTCGTATTTCGTCGATTGCTTCGAATTTCTGGAATCCTTTGCTGCGGTCAGTAAAAATGACACGCGCCATTCCATCGACATTATCACGAACGTCGAAAGCTATTTCGCTTACATAACCCAAGACGAGAAAAGAACGATTATTATTAGTGTAACACGTGGCAACGTAATATCATCCGACTTTTCCTTGTCTATGTAGATCATACGTTCAAACGCTAATTCTCGTACGCGGTACGCGTGATTAATCCTTCGTTTGCAACGTGAAATTTTCACCACTTTTCCGCAGTCTGAGTTTTCGAACGTCACTGCAGAGTTTTATGTTATTGAACTGTAAAAATTTGAAAAATTTTTATACATATGTGAAAGTTTCAACAGCGAGTTTTAATACTGTCATAGAAGTCGGATTGTGTTTTACTTTACTTTTTACAGATTTAAATTGCTTGATTTGAGAGGTGCAAAAAGATTTTTTTCTTTATATTTTCTCAAATAATGTAAGAGTATTTTTTGAAATTTTTGATATAATTTCTTGAGAATTTTCGGAGTTTTTTTTTACAGTGATATACAATCCAGTTTCAAATAAGAACTTTTACGGAATGAAGTTAGTTCAATTCGATAATTTTTGTGAAAAAGGTAAACCTTTCTAATTTTCTATGGTCCAGATATAGTTATCTAAAAATTTAGCTAAATCAAACATTAAAAATAATTTATAAAAGAAATTAAAATAAGAATTAAAGATACTATTGTTGAATTATCAAGATAATTGTATACAAGATGCTCAAGTTAATTACTGGAATATCAAAATTTTTTACAGCATTGTATGCTCATGATACTTGAATTTTCTACATAATTATAATATTATTTTTAATTCAATAAAATGATTTTTAGATCTATATCTAGCTAAATATTTAAATATTTCAGCAAAATTGCTCTTTTTGTGTGATTCTTTAATGATGGTTTCAGCGCGAAAAACGACGCGCGACATAATGATATCTAACAAGTGTAACGCTGAAGCTGCTTCACTTATCATTGAAGCATAGTCTTTGAGCGATAATCGTCAGGAATTTTCAGAGAAGAAACGAAAAAATCTCTCTCCCTTATTCTATTCGACATTGACGTCCTTTTACGCAAATATTTGAGAGTGATGCTCTTTTTAAAAAATGCCGCGCGCATTAAGTTTATTTTAGCGAAACGTACACAAATATTTAAGGTATACGCTATCCCTTTCGCTGAGACTCCCACGGGAGATTAAAGTTAATACTGCGATGTGAAACAAGTCCGTTTCTTTGCTGCTCCGATCTGTGTGTGTCGGAATTAAAGTTTCTTTTCTGTTGTGGTCTCTTTCATGCGAGAAGAGAGTTTCCATAGGAAAACTACTGCGATGCCACCGTGAACCGACGTGGTCGCAAACGTTCTGCGGACACGATCAGGATGACCGTGTTCGCCGAGTTACGACGTATCGTATCGGCTTTAGTGCTTCGTATGTGTTCTCTCTTTCTCTCTGAGAAGTTTCTTTGGGAGAAGTTATCGGAGGACGCGGTGGGATGTAATTCCATCAAAAAACGATAAATTTCGATTATATTGCCGCCTTCATGCGGCAGCGGTGAAACGCGGCGCGGCGATGATGTAATATTGGAACTTTAAATGGAGTTAAGACGGACGAATCGGCGATGTTGATGTCTTCATGACGACGATATAATAGCACGATTTTCTGTAATAATTTAAGGTACCGATGGAAAATCACCAGCAATATAGTTTACAAGATGTGAGACGCGGATGGGTTACCGAGCGAGTCTGCTTGTTTCGATTAAAGTTGTTAAGTGAGAGATTGGACGGCATACGTTTGATTCGCCATATTTTTCAGGATTTGCTTAAGATAGAATGAGATAGATTATGCATAAGATAAAATAAGATATTTATCTCATTCTGTCTTAAGCAGGTTCTGAAAAATATGATGAATCAAGTACATGGTATTCCATCCCTTACTTAAACATTTCTAGTTTTGATCATCCTGCAACAATTTAAATATATGGAATTACATTAAAATAATTATCTTCTTAAGAAAGAAAAGAGAAACATTAAAAAAATTTAATATTAATTAAATTTAAATAAAATACTTTTTAAAATTGTTAATAAAACACATGAACAATATTATATCGTCAGGTATATTAATAAATACTCGTAACTAATAATACTTAATGTAACATTAATATCAAAAATTACATTAAGTTACAATACCTTTAATTAATTTTTTTAAATTATATTTTTCCACTAAACGTATTTTATGAGTATAATATCTGAGTTGTTGAATAAAAAAATCGCGATAGTGTCGAAAATTTATTTTACACTTATTATTTTTATTTATTATATTTTACATTTATTATTTTCTTAAAAGAGGAATAATTCGAAATCATTTTCTTAATTCGAGACAAGATTTGGGCTCGATTTAAATTTTTCTATTAAAATTCTACTAAAATTTATAATAATTTTTTAAAATATTGATATAGTGTGCTTTTGAAGACCCCGTGTTACTGGTGGAGGATTAAAATAAACCTAGTATTCTTTTTGCACTAATTATGTTATTTTGGTCCTTGAAATTAATTATAGTGTCTTTTATAGTCAACATAAATTAAACGGGTCTCACTAAGCCAGCGTCAGTAACTGATGTTACAGATTTTTTTTTTTTGGACGTCCGCTCTGGAGGGTTAAAGATAAACTTTCACTCTTCGTAAATGCTAAAAAGGATACCCCTTGAAGACACTATATCGATTAACGTATTTTTTAATGCACCCCGCGCTTTAGCAACTCGCTTTTGCTTGCCGCATATATCCCGTGCCGTGGGAGGGGCGAACGAATTCCGCAATAAATTGCTGCAAAACGCACGTTGATTCCCCTTCACCCCTCTCGGTTCATGAATAACGCGCCGAAAGATAGTCCTCGTCTGAGGGCTAATCTCGCGGCGGTTTCGCTACCGTTGCTGGAAAACGATACACATGGAACTCGCAACGATGCAACGGTGCAGCGCAGCAGCGTAACCAACATTCAGGTCACTCTCGTCTCTCCTCCCCCCGCGCGACTCCTCCTTTCCGCCCCTGTCTGCGGAGGAACTTCAAAGGATCGATCTTGATTACCTTGCTCTGCTGACGGCGTTCATCCCAGAATAATAAATTGCTCTATCTGCACCTCTACGTGCTGTTATTAATAATAATTGATAATTAATTACGGCAGAAGAATGCGGTGATTATCGAAGTAAATTAAAAGCAATTATTTTCTTAAAGACGACGAGAAGTATAAATATGTATATAAATTGTATGTAGATTTTAATTTTTAATGTGTCTACTGAAAATGGTACCTCTATTCCTAGGAGATGAGGGAGATCGTTAGCTACGCCACTGTGCAGCGAATATAAACGTGCTTGTAGGATAAAATTAATGCACCCATGTCGCTCTGGTCCTTTCGGTTGCCAGGGAAATCAACTGTATATCGCGAAGACGATCCGTCGAGATTTCGTTAATTGTTCTCGATGTCGGGAGACATATGGGTCCTCGCAAAGCTGCGACCTGTGATTTTTCTGGAGGCCGCAAGTAATTGAATTTATCTTGAAAAAGAATGGTCCTCATCTGTGTAATAATGAAGCGGTTTTATCAAAGAAAAAGAGACAGAGAAAAGGAGTTCATATAAAAAGTTATATAGCTATATATAACATTTTATATCTCTGTGGGGAGCAAATAGATATAGAAGCCTGAATCGCCAAGAAAATTGCGCATCTAATCTTCCAAATTGACGACGCCGGTTTTATAAATTTATTTTTATCCTCTGTTCTTTTCTATACTCTTGGAGATGAGAATGAATTTTTCGAAAGACATCTTTTACGTATCCAAAGTAAATTTCGATCCCGAAATAATGTACACGTGCTCGCATACAATGAATACGCTAATTTCACCTTACAATGGAGTTCACGACATCGCATGAATCATTGTGTGGCGACAAAAGCGTAGTTTCACGATAGCGCGTCAAGTGTTTCACAGCAAAATTTTGCGTTACGAATAGAGTGTCAAGGAACTGTTTTGGAAGGTGAGTTATCTGAGATCGGAATTGTAGATCGGAGATCTTGATAGTAATTGTTTAACTATACCACATGCATCAACTAATTCTTAGAATTAGAAAAAAAATGAAAAGTTAGTTGAACGGAGATAAAAATAACAGAAAAGCGAACACAGAGTTCAGTAACTATTATCTAAGCTTCATTATTATATTATCGAACCTTTTTTTTTGTGAACGATTTTTATAGAGTTATTAAAAGTCCTCGTGTATGACGAAATGCCAAATCAGAGTGGGCCAATCGAGGCGTGGTCCCTTCGAGGAAGTATCTTGCAGAAGTAGATTCAGAGATATCCGAGGAAAATAGAATTTTCTGCACGACGTGACCCTTCAAGAATCGAAATGAAAATTCTCCCTTGTAGTCTCAAAATCACGCTGCAAAGACCGATGATAAACGGATCCTTAGCACGCATTTTGGACGACAAGATGTATTTATAAAAGCTCCCATAGGGATCAATTCGCATCTATTATTATTTCTTTGTAATATTGATAGCACGAAGATGTTTAAAATGTGCGTTTTCGACGCTGATCTGTCACACCTGAAAGTTGCACGTGAATTTTGACTGAGTTTTTGGATTTCACGTTTTCTAAAAACGTGGAGTATTTTCTAAAAGTTACAGATACTCATTTAAAGCTAATTAGAGAAAAAAGAAGCTCGGTACGTATCTTTTGCAAATTAAACCGTAGGTAGTATATACATATGTGATTACCCGACCAGAAAATCTTTATTATATTACTATTAATGTCAAGCAGCATTTTTAATTCAAAATTATCAAACATTAAAATTTAAAAAATTTCAAGAAACTACCAAAGTGATAAAGAATCGCACGAAGTGTTTAGTTTTTAGTTCGAATAAAATTTATAAAGGCTTTCGGGCAATTTTTTAAACACCCTGCACTATTATTATTCTTCATTATTCGCATAGTGTCTAGGACACTATAAATTTGCAAAACATACGAATAGTGAATACATTTTTTAAACAAAATTTGCATTTACCTTTATTCAAAGGTATATGCACATAGAATATTACGATATGTTTATTTATAATAATTATAAATCAACAAAGAGAACATTAAAGATTGAGATACAATGTTGGAGTGTCAGAGACACTCCACGTGAGTAATTACGTTAAAGAAATCCGTACGAATAATGTAGGATTAATAAACGCCTCGTTAATTTATTGTAATAGATTAGACTATAATAGATTTATTGTAATTGCACGCAAGTAGGGCAGTAACGAATCACTTTCGCGCGCTGAATCAACTAATTGAGGTCTATGCTCTCCGAAGGGTACTAAGAAAAGATGACGGGAAGTAGTAACAACGAGATGGGCCAGACAGTGACCTCGGGAGTTCGAGGCGATGGCGGGAAGCATACGGTTCACTGGTTCCGTAAGGGACTCCGACTGCACGATAATCCCTCACTGAAGGAGGGTCTCGCAGGGGCGTCCACTTTCCGGTGTGTCTTTGTGCTGGACCCCTGGTTCGCCGGAAGCACCAACGTTGGCATTAATAAATGGAGGTGAGAGCCTGCGATGGCCCGCGGGATTGCGGAAACGAGATCGATGCAAGTCGACTCTAAAAGCGGAATAATGCGATGAAACGCGTTGGCGCCTCAAACGTGCCGTACTTATGTATACATATATTCTTATTGTTATCAGCAAAAATCTATTTTTTTACGAATCTTTATTTTATTTTATTATCTTGTTTCTCTTCTCTTATTTCTTGTTTTTCTAAATCTTGTTGTGAACGAACGACAGAAATATAATCAGATACTCTTGGATAATTATCGACAATGATCGCGTTAATGTTTTTTTTTTTTTTTATAATATCAAGCTTTTCTTATTGCATCTTAAGTTCGGATGATATTGCAATGATAGTAGCGAGTTACGATTATTTAATTCGTCGATAATAGTGAGTCGATACTGTTCCACAAATGGCACCGTAGATCTTCATTGCATGGCATAATCTCAATGCATTACTGCGACGGACATTCGAGGCACGACTCTCTCGTCGTCGATCATTTGTCATGTTGATTAAGCGTTATGTAACCGTTTCCTAAGCGATCGCTTAGATGTTGTCGATAATCTACTGAATCACGGTTGACAATAAAGACATAACGGCGACATTGACCAAAAATCAACGGCAAATGACGAATGTAGCCGCGCGTGTTTACGTTATATGTTATGTTGCTTTGAATGATGAATTATTTCTCAGTTGTTACAAAAGCTAAATGCTTAAATCTAATTGCAATGTAAATATTTAATAAAATATTGTTTTTCATATTTTGTAATTTTGCACCACAATTCTTTTATTATGTTATTATTGTGAAGAAGCTAATTAAAATATAATGCTATAATTTTCAGTTTGTTACTACACATTATAATCATATTATAATCTATGTTTTTAAAGTAATCATTTTTATGTGAGTGAAAGCGCTTCAAAAATTTAAAAGATTTCTCTATTTTTTAAATGGATTTATATAATTTTTTTATATGTGTGATATCTATAGTTATTTTGTATTAAAAAGTAATACAGCAAAGTTATCATAAAATTAATTTATGAGATATTTTTTTTTTAATCTGGTATATTTTAACTCGAAATATAAAATATGTATAAACTATTTATCTCTTTATAACTATATCTTAATTAACATTTTTCTATACTGAAAAACATTGAATGATGAATTAATTAATGCAAAGAAAACACGTTGTTGTTTTTCAAAAAACATGTAATTGCAATTGTCAAAAAATGAAGTTAATTAATACAATAAAGTTGTTATTATTATTAATAGTTTACGAGATATTTTATACTTTGTATCTACATATATATCAACATCAAATATAACATATCATACATTATTGATATTTAATAATTTTACTTTAATACTTTTACATACAGAATAACTGGAAAATTTATATTATATAAAAAAATCATATAATATTATTTAAAAAATGGTGGTGACCTCAAACTTTAAAAGCGCCTCCATCCACAGAAACATTTAATACTAACAACATATTATGACCCTTTGATACTTAATATTAATTTTGTAATTAAAATATTTTCATATTTTTAAAAATAATTAAAATACTTTAGGTGGACAATGTTATTACTCTATCCTGTATATATTCATTTTTACATTATCTAAAAACATTATTAAGTAATTTTGTACGACATCTAATTGATTTGTTTTACGTGCAATCTGACAGGTTTCTACTGCAATGTTTGGAGGATCTAGACTGTTCTCTGAGAAAACTGAATTCTCGACTGTTTGTGATCCGGGGACAACCGGCTGACGCGCTCCCTAAACTCTTCAAAGAATGGGGCACGACAAATTTGACTTTCGAGGAGGATCCGGAGCCATTCGGCCGAGTGCGAGATCATAATATTTCGGCCCTTTGTAAGGAGCTCAGTATCTCGGTAGTCCAAAGGGTCTCGCATACTCTCTACAGACTAGACGAGTGAGTTCGAAAAAAATTCGAAATTGCCCAATACTTTCATATCAATTGGAATTTTTTTACACTAATTTAAGATAAAATATCAATAATTTAAATTTAACACACACACATTGTTAAAGTCAAAATAATTTTTTTTATTACTTTTTATAATTTTTGATTTGTTATCTTTACCAAATTTATAATAGAGTTTTTCTAAGGCATTTTTTCTGAATGATTTTATTATAATATTATATAAATGATTAATAAATCAATTAATTTTCTTTCTTTTTATTTTTAAACAGTTAAAATAGGAATACATTACTTGTCGAGAGTTTAATGATGAAAGAGATACAAATTCATCTAACTTAAAAAAATTTATTTTATTTAAGTAAGAATAGGTCTTTAGCTCATTTTATCAATCTAAAGGATTGTAATTGAAATTTAACTTTGTTATTATATATAATACATATAATCTTAAAATAATTTTTAACAAGATATTTATGGAAGAAAGAAAAGAAGAATATAAATATCTTTTAAAAGCTACACATGTTTGTTACTACACTTTAATATACATCCGAATGTTTAGAATAGAATCCTAGCGGGACCCGCTAGGATTAAATATTACGTTGCAACTTTCGCCATTATTCGCAAGCCATTTCGTAACTTCACCGCCCTCGTCGTTACACGTTTCAGAATCATAGAGAGAAACGGTGGAAAACCGCCGTTGACCTATCATCAATTTCAAGATGTCGTCGCCGGTATGGACTCACCAGAACCGCCGGTACCGACGGTGACTGCTGCTTGCATTGGCAGCGCCTATACACCCCTAAAGGATGACCATGACGATCATTACGGAGTGCCCACCCTCGAGGAACTTGGTAAGAAAAAATCGATTTTTTTCGAATAAAGAAAGTACAATGTTCTATAGTTAAGTTTTTGTTATCTCGTTAAACACAACAAATCGTTAAAATAATCATTCATTATTAATTGAGAATCCTTAAGTACGTACAGACAGAATAATATTATATTACTGAAGTATCTAAAAGTTTAACTAGATACAGCTCTGAATAAAACCTTATATAGGATTCTAACAATCAAATTATACAATAATGAGTAAATAATTGTACAATATATATTCAATATTCATAACAATTAATATGTATTAATACAAAAAATTTTTAATTTATTCATTAACCGCGTTATTTCCTATAGATTTTCTTTCTACCTTTCATTTTTTTTTTTCATGAACTTTAATTTAAAGAAAAGTCGACCCGGCTTGATTAAAGACCAATTATTAAAGTTGAGGACAGAGGTCAAAGATTCAGTATAAACTAGAACACCCGACCGGGCTGCTGTTTCGCGATATATCAGGTAATAACGAGATATGCATTTCGAATAGAATATCTCGAGCTGGACAACTGCAGATTAATTGTAAGCGCGAGCCCGTCGCGTTTGCCATGGAGAATTCATTCGCGGCAGATTAGTCGATGCAATATTAATACGCCGTCCATAAGAGAGCAATCGGGCATTATTTCGTATAACGTAATTCATCCGTCGATAGCACGTTGTAATCCGTAGCTATTCAAACTGCATTATGTACTCCGCATGGCGAATACGAAGAGAATCCGATCGATTATTAATTACCTTGGCTGATTGTTCTTATTATTAAGTGTCAGACGTCTTAAAGTCTTCTCGGCACGGCGCAATAGCCCATTACCTCATTGATGTATAGCTCTATATACTTACAGAATTCTATAGTTTGTATTGTCCCTCACTTTCAAATGTCGCATATTATTCCATCGTTTCTTCTCATTGTTATCAAATGTCAGAGCGATTCCCGAAGGCTTTCAGGTTTTTTCTTCTGCAATTCTCTGTAATGCCGAAAGGATGAAGAAGCAAGACCTTCGCCAAATAACGTTGTACTGTACGGAATGTCTACGGCTCTTTAATTTTAGTGACAGATTCTTTAGTCGATATTCCGAGTCGAGTTTTTCTTAATAAAACTGTCAAAGAGCGCCATTCGAGCACTGAACAATCGAAAACAAGGTACTTTTTTATACAGTAAACTTCGGGTAGCAATATATTTTATTGCACACGATCGAATTTTTATTTCCGAAATTTTCGTGAGGATTATTTATTGAGATGCTTAACATCATAATACAAATTGCGATCAGTAATATTTAAAATTTTACTAAATGTAAAGAGCTATATAACAAAATTTTCTTTAATAGAATATTAAAACTGAGGTATTACGAAGTCGAATTAACTCTAAAATGCTATCGATATTAAATGATACAAAATTGTTATTAATATGTTACGTTCGAGTAAATCATTTTAAAATAATATGTAAGATTATTATATATTTCATTCTTTTAATGACTTTTAAAATTAAGACCTTTATAAACACAAATAATTTAGTTTATTCAACTCCTTCAGACTTTGTACATTGTAATGTATATAGTACATCAAATTTATAGACATTATATCCGTTGAAATTATTTAATTCTATTATCTACTGTTATCATTTGAAACTGAATATACTATATAAATGTTAAAAAAATAATCAAATTATGGAAAAAAAAATTTTCTTACTATGCATTATTTATTAAAATGCCCTTGAATTGAATTAAAAAAATTTGTTTAAACATAATTCCAATAAAATTTAAAAGAAAGAAGAAAATGAACACACTATACGTATAATATTAAACTTAATTCTGCTGAAGAGATTAATAGATTAGAATTTCTTGATTGAATCTATTATAACTAGAATTCTGATTGGTATGATCAGAATCTTTTCTAGTTCGTTTATTTTGAATCAGAAATTTCACTGCACACGAATCTTTAGAAATGAGAATGAGGGTAATTAAAACATCGAGTAGGGAAAAATAATTAAATATCGAATCGTGTTGCTAACCATAAGTTATTCTATGAGAATATAATTTTCTCTATACAAGTTCCCCGGCTTTTTATGATTTGTAGGCTTTGATACGGAAAGTCTGCTGCCGCCGGTGTGGGTTGGTGGTGAGAGTGAGGCCCTGGCTAGGCTCGAACGTCACCTCGAGAGGAAGGCATGGGTAGCGAGCTTCGGCAGACCGAAGATGACACCGCAATCCTTATTGCCGAGTCAGACTGGGCTCTCACCTTATCTGCGATTCGGCTGTCTCAGTACGCGGTTGTTTTATTATCAGCTCACTGATCTGTACAAGAAGGTACGAGACGTTCCGCGAGCGAAATTGTGTTCACGAAAAACGACGATGCGAGATGTGTCTATCGCGCATAAAATTTATCGCAGGAACTTCTCGCTAGTTTCTATCCTCTTCTTCTTTTCTTTTTCGCTTGGAAACTTCGTGATAATAATTAAATGAAACTTCCGGGACGCGTTAATTGCGCCGCGAAATTTTTATTTCTACGAGAAGTCGCGAAAGCTATTCCGTACAAGTTCGTGGTTATGAGGGTATAATGTTCTCATTGTTTCTTAGAGTATTACATATAGTGAGTGTAAAATATACAGAGAAGATATCTAAAAAAAACTTATTTTTAGAAAGTAAACGTTAATTAGCAATTTATTAACAAAAAGAATATGATCATTATTATACTCTTTAAAACCTTTAGAGTGAGATTCACTTTGAAGAGTGAAATCTTACTCTTAAAGATTAAACATTGAGCTGCGCTTCTTTAGGACTGGCTCAATTTTTACTGTTTGGAGTGAGATTTCATTCCAAAGAATTTAGAAGATATGTTTTTAAACATTATTTTATTTAAAATGATGTGTAATAGTCCAAATATATTATGATAAGTGAAAATAAAAAATTTATTTGGACATAAAAAGTATTTATACAGTCGAGAAATTTACTTCTAATTGTAAGACTATATAAATACAATTATTTTCGCGACGCTCTTTTGTTTATTTAGAACAAAATATACTTAATTTTAATAAATTGCTAATTTATGTTTATTTTATACAAATAATCTTTTTTATAAAAATCTTCTCTATACATAACTACTTTTTTTTGCATTTATTATGTCGATAAAATTTTTCCGTTGTTTGTCTATCCTTTTTCTTAAAACAACGATGTTACCTTTCTCATTTTATCGAGCAATACTTCGTCATTTGTCAATTTTGAAAGCGAATGATTAACTCAGTTTATCTATCAATACTGTTACAATATTGTTTATTATATTTTCAATAAATTTATTTTAGATAAAGAAAGCGGTACCGCCGCTGTCGTTGCACGGGCAGCTTCTCTGGCGTGAATTCTTTTACTGTGCAGCGACGAAGAATCCAAATTTCGACAAAATGCAGGGCAATCCGATTTGCGTGCAGATACCGTGGGACAAAAACGTGGAGGCACTCGCAAAGTGGGCGAACGTGAGTGATATTTTGCACACGGACAGAGGCAAATTTGCTTCGCTATTTTATTCATACAGTGCGGTCAAATGAGAAACTTTAACGATGAAAAAAAAAAAAATACAATATTGCAATAATTATTTTCATTTCAATACACTAGTGAGAGCAAAAAAATTTACATAATTTTTATCATTCGAGCTATCAATAAATTTTTTTAATTACGAAAAATTCGTTATTTTTATTAACAAAACATGTATAATATGGCATGAGAAATATACGCAATTTCTGTTTATTAAAATAGAATGCACTAAACTAGCTTTGCAACTGAAAAATTTATGATATGACAGATGGATACAATTGCACTTGCAACAGTACTCTGGCGAAAATGAGAATCGGAGTGTAAGTCGAATGTAAAGGGAGAATACAGAAGCGTAAACGAAATTTCTACGAGGCAAAGATTGAAACAACGAAATGTAAAAAAGATGTTTACGCTTTTCTTTTATGTTTCTTTGTATCAATTTTTGCCTCCTAGAAGCTTCGTTTATGCTTTTATTACTCTCATCTTACATTCAACTTACGCTCCGATTTTTATTTTCATCAGGTATTTGGGAACTCGATTTATTTTACACTTTTTTCTCTACAACAGTAGGGAATTTCTTTCTTTTGTAGATCAACTTTTTTCCCTTAATTTTAAGGATTTATAACTATTTTTGCACATTTTTTAAATATTCAGTTCGAGACGAAGGAGTCAAGCAATACTATTTTTTCAACGGTACTAAACTTTTCGTCTGCTGCAGGGTCAAACGGGATTTCCGTGGATTGATGCAATCATGACGCAGTTACGGGAAGAGGGTTGGATACATCACCTGGCCAGACACGCGGTGGCTTGCTTCTTGACCAGGGGCGACCTTTGGATCTCATGGGAGGAAGGAATGAAGGTAAAATGTTACGGCATGTCTGGCATTTCAATCAACACGCGTTGAATTATTCTTTCTCTGTTTCTCTTATTCGTTTGTACTTATCATTAATATACAGACTTTGTAGAAATATTTCTTGTTGCGAGATCTCTTTTTCTCGGAAATACGTGCAGTGCATCTAATGTAATATACCTCTCTCCAGTTAAAAAATAAATAAATAAACTGTTCGTTCTCTGCAGAGTAACTGTACAACTAACTAGTTGAGTTTATTTTATTCGTCGAAGTAGAAGACAAAATTAATGAAACGTCTATTTAATTACGCAAAAAGCGTTAAACGGCGTTAAAATACTCTTTAAAATTTTTGAAGTAGAATTTCACTCTAAATAGTGAAAATTTAGCCGGAAAAAGTCTCGAAAAAGACTTAATTTTCAATCTTTAAGAGTGAGATTTCGCTGATTTTGTTAATTATTTTACTATATATTTCACATTGGATTTAACGTCTTTCTTTGAGGTGTTCGACGAGCTTCTCTTAGATGCCGATTGGTCCGTGAATGCCGGTATGTGGATGTGGTTATCGTGTAGTTCGTTTTTCCAACAATTTTTCCACTGTTACTGCCCCGTACGATTCGGCAGGAAAGCGGATCCGAACGGCGACTACATCAGGTAATCGATTGAAAAAGTATTTTTTAAAATTATTTTTAGAAAAACGCAAAACGCAATGTAATACGCGAGAAATTCCGAAAAAAATTTCGACGGGTACGTTTATCAATGTTTTTTTTTTTCCATCCGAAGTAACATTTACGCTAACGATCGCGTGCACGATGGTATCGGTATAGTGATTAACGCTCACGCGATGGCCAGATTAATGGAAATTTTAATCTTGATTGATCTTAATTTGTAACGTATCAGGCGTTAATCTGAGCGAGGCAAAATTCAGCCGCAAGATAGATGGAACTTTAAACAGCTTAGCTCCATTAAAGCTTAATCGTGCAAAAGATTATCGTGACGAATCGTCGGCGATGACAACGTTCCATTATTAGAAAACTAATTCACATTTCACTGGAATAAATTAGTGAATCCGACAATCATTGTAGTAGACCATATAATTAGTATAGTACTAATTATATGAAAAATTAGATCCCGGTAAAATAAATTAATGAAAATCTTTACCAATGATATCAGGAGACACGGTAGAGTCTCCGGCCATGTTGAAAAACTAAAAGGCACTACAAGTCTTTTATCCCGAATCACCAACATCCATTTTTTATACATACATTATACATGGACCAAGTATTCCTATATTTTTTGGTAATGGGGGATGAAGCCGGAAATTAACAATTTAAGTGATCATTAAGCATGCCTTCATAAATATAAACTAGCAAGTGCTAATTCATTCTATTTGATACCTGCAATTCTCAGAAACAGTAGAGTATTTTTTTTTCATGATAGAAAGAGATGTAATGGATTCACGGATCCTGTTAAATTATAATACCATCTTCCGGCTTCAAGCTACGGACCAATGCTTGATTTATGTATGCACATATGTCATTGATTTTCATACATAATGTAATAGCTTGTTAAACAAAAGATGTCATATACACAAGACTCAATAATGGATAGTTTCCGAGCTGTGATGTAAAACTTGTCTTCATGGAACATCTGTGATACACCGTAGTTCAAAAACTATCCATTATTGAGCCTTGTGTCTATGACATCTTTTGTTCACACATTGTAAGCAATATCATGTACGTGAAAACTAAGTCGTTTCACCGGGACCCAATTTTCTATATAATTAATGCGCTGTTCTTTAGCTAGATTGACAGATCTGAAAATAATTTTGTTAAACCATCCGAATAGTTATGTAGGACGCTGGTTGCTAAATTGTCAAAACTTTTTGTAACATTTCAAACACGTTGCTCATTATGCTTGAGTGTTCTACGTAATTATTTTGATAGTTTAACAAAATTATTTTCTCCGTCTAGTTAAATTTTCCGATACTTCAACAAAATCATTCTTTTCCTGTACTCGTATATGTAGACTTTATCGCTCATTTTGTTATACTACAAGTAAAAAACGAAATTTCCCAAACTAAGTTTCAATGATTTGAATTATTAAAATTTTGTAACTTTAATTTTGAAATATACAATTTTGATTATTGGTTATAGTAATAACTGATTATAGAGAAAAAAAAAGATATATATATATTTTTAAAGTATGTTTTTCTTTTTTTATGTTTCCATTTTTTGGTAAGCAGTTTAAAAAAAATCACAATCCTTTTAGTTATGCCGTTGTTGTAGCAAGTGAGCGATATATAAGGAATTATTGTTCCAAGACAAAATCAATCTTGTTCTCACGAACAGACGCTACCTGCCGATGTTGAAGAACTTCCCGACCAGGTACATTCACGAGCCTTGGAACGCGCCGCTCAGTATACAGCACGCTGCCAAATGCATCATCGGCAAGGAGTACTCGTTGCCGATGGTGAACCACAGCAAGAGCTCGCGCATCAACATCGAGCGGATGAAACAGGTGTACCAGCAGCTGAATAAGTATCGCGGTAACGGTGAGTAAAAATTGGCCGCCCGCGATCAATTTTACAATACTTTCTAAATTAATTTGTTCTTTCGATAATGGACCACCGCGCCGAAAGTTTGTTCTTTCGGAGTAGTTTTAATTCCAACCCATTCGGATACGATCTCTTTTAGCGGGCTTTAAGTCGAATTTTTAAAGCGATCGTATTATAATCAATTTCTTTTCGATTTAGGAACCTCATTTAAGGGAGAGAACATTGGTGAGTAAATTGATTTTAACAATTAATAATTCGATCAATTAATTGCATTGTAACGTATAACAATCTTGGTCATAAGTATAAAACACTCTCAAATTATTATATTTATTTGAAAAAAAAAAACAATGATAAAAACAAAAAAGACAACAAAATATTAAAACTGTTATAAAAATAAACATTTTCAATGAAGTTGTTTTTAATTTATTTTTTATTAGATATAAAATCAATTCGTAGGATGTTTTATACTTGTTTTTGCTAAAGCTGCATATAAAATGTTTTAGTAACGATATTAATAATGCAGTATGCTTTGTGCAAGGCTTGCTGAACGCATTGCTGGCACCGCCAGCGAAGGACAGCGACGAGGAGAAGAGGAAGCAGGATTCGCCGAATCGGGAGAACGAGCAGAAAATGGAGACCATTAGCAGTCCCACGCAGCAGCAACAACAGCAGCAGCAACAGTAGCTACAGTCGGTATAGCGATCTGACTAATCTGTTAACATCATAGTGCTGATTATTCTTTTTATGGATTTTAAAAGTGACTTGAAAATTCCATATGAATTGTACATCTCTTACTATAATTAACTGCGAGAAGACCCGTTAATCATGATTGACATAATCGATGCCTTTTCTTACTTCAATTTTTCCCAATATTATTAGAAATTGGTTGTCACATTTCATAAATTCCATAAATAAACCATATTTAATATATATTAATATTTATATATATATATATATTTTTAAAAAATTTTAAAGATCAAATACGAAAAAATAGTATATTAAATTATTATATTAAAAAAATATTATTTAAATGTATAATTTATACAAAACCTTTTTATTTTAAATTAATGCGAAACAAGAATAATATAATAGCATCTATATTTTTTTATATCTAGAGGAGTTTTTTAAATTAAAATATATTTTTGTGAAATTGTAATTAAATATTTCAGAAATATTAAAAATATATGTATAACATATATATAATTTTGTTACAAATATTTCTAAAAAAGAAGGCTCCACATGGGGAGGACCCCATAGCTCCCCCCACGGATCCACCAATGTTTTTGACTCTAGTAAAAGAGGTTAATTGTAAAATCAATATCGGATAATCCGCGAGAAACCGCACTATTTTTTTAACATTTGTAGAAAGGCAAGGGTAATAAAATGTTTTAGCAGCGGGAGACTTAGCGAGGGTGTTACACTAGCGAACCTAATGTTCGCCTGAGGTAGATTACTGTTACAACTTGTATTTTGTCACACAATTAACTTATATGCAATTTTAACAATGCTTCCCGCAACGTATTGATTAACAACCGTATACCGTCTAGATTTTTTTATAGTTGTAAATTATGATTGTAAATAATGAATAAAATGTTGGTTGTAAAGGACGTTATCCATCATATGTAAATCACGTCGAGATGTCACTTACCTTTCTCACGACGTTCCTCTCTCCGGGTCTTGGGAACCCTTCGCCGTTTCTCTGCGAGTGCTGCATGTCCTCCGATGCAACTTTAGATAGCAGAATAATAGCTCTCGGATAATTGACGGAAAACGTAACGGAGACGCATCGCGAATGTAATCGCAGTGGAATGAACTTCGGTCGACTTGACAAAATGAACATTTAATGGTCTATCTGTCACACTTTGCGCTTTAATGGTACCTCAATCCGGAGATCCTCGATGCAGCTCGACGGGTACCGCCTTTCTGCTACAAAAAGTTGATAACACGTTTTTGCTCACGGCTATTGTATATCACTATTGCCCACGCGCTTAAACGCTATAGACTGAAGCTCGATGCTCTCGCTCACGTCATCTTCGGAGACTCTCTCGCCTAATTGAAGACGACTCTTCGCGACGGTGCGCTCTTCCGTTTACAAACGGGCACGGTACAACGCATCGCGCGTTTCAACTCGCGGCTCTCGTTATCATATAAAAGAGAAAAAAAAAAAAAACGAAAAAAAAGTATACAATAATGAAGTGCACGGGACCCGTGCACGCACACGCAATATGCATCGCAATTACGTATATATGTATTTGCCGGTGTACGAGTATATATATATCATATCTCGTCGACTCCCGGCGGACAGAACTCATGCCACACAGTCGGTTTTTCTTTATTTTTTTCATGTCAACAAATGATATATTTTTAGTGCCTATAGTACTTATAGTTTTACAGTACATTTCTCATTAGATTTAAACAATTACAAATGAACATTCTCAACACTCAAAAACAAACTACTATTTCTCACGCACATTATCTCTCTCTCTCTCTCTCTTTCTCTCTCTCTTCGCGCACTCACGCTTTCATTTTTCTTTCATTTTCTCTTTCATTCTCTCGGCTCTCTTCCTTTCTCTCGCGCACTCTTTCACGCGTTAATTAATTTTATTTCACATGTGTGCCTTACAAACGCTTATATATTTTGTTACATGTACTCTTTGCGATAAAAGATCAAAGTTTTTTTTTCTTCTTTGCGAGCTTTCGTGGTCGCAGTAATAAATCTCCATACGTCACTCTAATAATAATTGGGACAATATATAATTATAATCATTAATAATAATTAATCATATTATTATTCGTCATGCGGTAGTAACATCATCGTCACGGCGTTTGTGCGTCGTCGCGCATCCAAAATTATTTTATCTATACACATTACGACGCTGTTCTTTTTTCCTTCTTGCTTCTGTAAATATCTCTATGTATACATTACGACGTCGGCTGCGGTTTTCATCTTTTCTTTTTACGTTTATTTACTTGTCGCTAATTTTACACCTCTATACCGCCGCGGAACACCGAAAAAATACCAGCGCGTACAATACACCACGAATTTCGGACACCTATTCCTTTTCTCTCTCTCTCTCTTTCTTTTACCGAGGAAAAGGATAATATTTGTTTCGCCTCGGAAATTCGATTCGTAATTCTCGGGCGTCGACTACGACGTGTGCGCAAATAACTTCTGTGCTGAGGATTGAGGCCGTGGGATCTAAAAATCCGAGGATAAAGTCTTGTGTACAATGCAAGAAACCGGTCTAAAATACTGGATGGAGAAAGAATTGACCAATCGTATTGGTCATGTGATGAAAAGTTAACGAATCAAACAGGAGATCTCGAACCGAGTTTCTATATCATCGTGGACACGAAGTTTTAGAAACATGTCGAAAATGTCCACCATCCATCAACAATCCACCCATTTAGATCCTTGGATTTTAAATATTGTAAAGTAGGGACACAACTCAGACAATACACAATGTTTAAAAAACGTGTTTATGATGTCTTTTAAATATACCCTTTGAACTTGTATATATCAAAACACGTCTTTATTATGTATCTGTGACGTCATTCAACATGCATGTTGTCTGGGAAATATCTCACAGATCGAAAATTTTGAGGATTTAGGCATGTATATTCAAGAACCTCGGAGAAGATCCCAAACTCGGATCATAATACGATAATTAATTTCTATCGTATTTCGAAGCTACCAGGATTCAAGGATTTAAGGAACCAGAGATCCAAGTGCCCAAATATTCGGAAATTTCGCCGCTCAAAAACGCAAAACCCTTACAGAAATTTAATACTGGCAGATAGCGATTGATCACTTATTTTGAGTATTAAAAGCAATGTTGTTTAGTATTTTTTTATAATAACTGAAATAAGTGATTTTTTAAATATCAAATTAAATTTCTGTAAGGGGAATCAACGATTCCCGGGATTCAAGAATCCGAAGATCCGAGAGTTTCACGCGATCTCTATCAGAGGATCCGCGAATATCACTCAAAGATCGATGGCGATCGGATATCGGAATTCAATTTGTATAAGAGACAAGCATGCGTTACCTCCTCTCTCATTTTCTTTTTTCATTCTTTCTAACGCGATATTGGACAAACGCACGCACATCTGCGCTCTCCAATTAATTCCTCATTATTACAACAAACTACGCGCGAAGCTCGGGGCGTCGACGATCGCGCACCGGGGAGAAATCGATTTTTGTTCACCGCGATATCGCAGGCAAGAGTGCAGGCCGACTACGACGGAGCTTCCCATTTAGAATGCACATTTAGGACGAAATCCTCGTTTGGACCGGCGCGGCCGTCGTTTGCGGTTCTGCACAATTCTTTATGCACTCATCCTCTCTCGCGCACCCTCTCTTTTCGCTCGAGACTAGTAATTAGTGATAATAACTATATTGGCTAATCGACTATTAATTTCCATAGTTTTATCGCCAACTACCGCGCTACTTCATTGTTTTTTTTTTTTCGTGCCCGCTAACTAACGCCGCTCACTTTAAATCCCGAGACTCTCCAATTTACGTGAACGCTCCCTGAAGATCGTCGCGCCAATCCGAAGAGCCAAGGAAAAATCTGTTGCTTCCTATACAGCATAAAAGCTTGCAGCAACATTACTGCAACGTTGTAATGTTATTGCAATATTACTGATGAGAGAAGGAACCTAATTTGCAAAGAAAAAAAAAACATAATTTTTTCGTAATTATTACCATAAATAAGTTAAGTAAACACCTATTAATCATCAAAAATATACTTTCTTCATAAAAGATCGTTACAAATCATATTTAGTTTTCTAAGAGTTGTGAAAATGACATTTCATCATATTAAAAATGCATTGATCTTTTTATATCATTTGATTAGTGAATAATTTCCTGTGAGATGAAAAATAGTTTTCCCTCTTTTCTATAAAATTCAATTTTTTTAACAATTACAGGTATAAATCGAAATTCGACGAGAATAAGTCAATTCATAGAAATCCTATTAATTTTTTGTCACTCTCTTGTCAATAATAGAAATAATTCTATTAATTATTGAAACTGTCACTTGTCAAATAAAGAAGTGATAGGAACATTATCAAGCATCAAGATCCGCTTTGGCCAAAAGTAGAATTCCTTCTCTTATCTGCAACATTGCTGGAACGTTGCAATGTTGTTGCGATATTGCTGGAATAATTTGTACTGTATGGATTTTTCTACACACACATACACTCCACACATAAAACATACATACATCTCGCTCAAAAATGTGTCACGATCGCCGACGATCGCCGGTTCGATCAACAATACTTTACGCGATCAAAACGCATGTTAAAAAGGACGACGACGATGATTCACTACAAATTCTTCGTCCTCAATTCACGATTAGAGATGCTTCCGCGCCACTCTCGCACTATACATGAAACTATCAACAGTATTTTGCGTTTCTCTTCTGTCGGCACGTATCGCGGACTCATCGTGAGAGACAATTCGCAAAAATTACGATCGCGAGCGATCGATTCGGAGAAGGAGAAGAAGGGTATAGAATGCGAGAGGTTCCAACTCGTTTCTTTTTTCGAGGATTCTCTTAAAAAATCCTGGTAGATTTTTACAATAAGATCTATAGAGCCACGAAGCGTTCTGTAAACTTGAATCTAAACGTGAAATTTACAGAAGAAATGCTAAAAATTTGACTGGTATCATCCATCATTTCGATATTAAATGCAATTAATACGATAGAGATATTTTTTATAGAAAGATTCTCTTCCAAAAAAGCTTTTAAAAAATATCACGCGGTGTAGCATTCGCTATTTAATATAGAAACGATCGATTATTCGTT